ACTCCACTCGCTCCTCTCGCTTTGCTCGAGCGGAATTGCATCCATCCTCTCCTGCTTATTCATTATGAATTAGGGCGAGATCTTCAAACCTATGCCTCTTCTTTCTCGATAGGATTCCCATCATTTTCAGTTTCCGGCGAAGGAGACAAGGGCGAGGCACCGAACATGTTCTATCCTCAACCTCCATCTTTCATTAGTCAAAAAAAATCCGCTTTTCCTATTCACTAGTACACTGCGCGCGGAAACTAGCAGCCTCTTTATTATTATTAGTGAGGGAAAAGGCTAGCGCTAGCTAGCGACTTCTAGTTAGAACCCCTACTTTCTTGGGATATTAGAAGAAGCCTGCTGAAAAACAGAAGCGCGCAACCGCTGAAAAGCCAGCAACGTCGTTAGGAGTAGGTTTTGGCTTGCCCCTTTGTTTTCTTAGTCAGAGAGGGCCTAACCAAGGGGCTGCTTACTGCTCGCCCTATCTCTAAAGGGGCTTATGTCGTTACCACTAAACGACGAAGCCAGGAGCGGAAGGAGGGACTTGAACCCTCAACCTCAGCCTTGGCAAGGCTATGCTCTACCATTAAGCTATTTCCGCCAGCGGGGCAACATCAAGCAGCGAAGCACTACTGAGCAATTCACGTATCACAACATACGGATGACTTCTGTTTTTCCGCCGGACCACAGTTTTGACCTCCGATCGAGCTACGAACACGAGTAGGTAGGCTATAGGGGGGGGAGAGGGGCTAAGAGCTGCCTTTTCCATCAATCTCCGGCCGCTCAGTGCCGCTATTGGTGCGAGTTTACAGGAGCCCAACTTATTCTATTATATATCTCCAGTCAAGCTGGGGCCTCATTTCATTCTCTACAGGGGAATGAGTGCACCGAAAAACCAGACAAGTTGCTCCCTCGCCTCGCAGCGGCGGCATCTGTCTTTGTTGTTATTAGTTGTCATTTCCTAAGACGGCCCCTCTTATTCTACGATAATCCAAGCTGCAGCTCCACGAGTCTGCTCGGAACCGGTCGATTCCTAAGCCATTCGTTCTCCCCTCTCGGTTGGCCTTTGCCAGCCACTAGAACAAGTAAGAGAACCTACAATGAATGAACTTAAAGAACCGCAGATTTGGACCGGATTGTACACCTTTGTGTCTGGCTCTGTAGATGTGCATAAAGAAGGGACGGGACATCTCTCTCCTTTTTTTGGGGGAAGAGAGAGGGAAGAAGCTTCATTCCATCCAGCCTCACGAACTTCTTACTGGGGCAGTACTATAGGCATTTTCGAGTGTTTGGATGCACGTGTTTTGTTCATATTCCTGCGCAATTAATAGAAAAATTACCCAGAACTCAAACTAATAGTTCACGATCCTAACGGATTTCCAGACCCATATGTATATGTTCTATCTTTACCTATCCCATATTCTCTATGGTTCGTCTTCTCTAAGCTCAGTAAGAAGTAATGTACGAACTCTCCCCTCTTAGCCAGTGCCAGTCAACGAATCAATACCTCGCTCTACAGCTAGATCTACAGCGAATCCTTAAGCATCGGGTGTTCTAGTCTACTTGATCGGTAATTGACAGCTCTGCTTTCTTGCTGGTGCTTGTAGCTCTTCCTTATCTGTTTTTGGTCTTATCGTCTTGTCTACTGGTACGCTCAATGCCACCTAAAATTCCTTCAACTCTCTTCTGTCAAGGGACTGGTCACTTTGTCAATCTCCTTCAATCCTAGGTAAACTCGAAAGTTTGGGATCAGGGAAGCATTCATTTACGTTGAAGGCAATAGGGAAAGAGCTTACATCGACCTACCAATCCAGGCTTTACCACGGATCGATCCGAAGCTTAGGGCGAAAGAGAAGCTTACGAGGAAGTCAAGAAATGGGATTCAACCGGGAAGCCATTCAACAACAAGTCAAGCAAGAGATGCTCTGGCATTGTTCACTAAAAAAGGGCTGTATGGATCTAAGCAACGTTGGACAATAGAACCAATGGAACCACTGAAAGGTACCGAGTTCCCTTATTAGAATAGATTAGAATAGATTAGAATAGATTAGAATAGATTAGAATAGATTAGAATAGATTAGAATAGATTAGAATAGATTAGAATAGAATAGGCTTCATAGGCTTCATAGGCTTCATCGATAGCATTCGGCCAACGAAACTCATAGGAATCGTGTATGAAAGGATATCGCCTAGGGGAATGGGCAGGCCCTATAGGAGAGATCAGACGATGAGACACTCGAAGACGAAGCAAGAGCAAGCACCCAACAATGAAAGGCTGGGAACATCGCCCAATTTCCATAGCTGGAAGACAAATGCGACTTAAATAGGCAAGGAGGAGACATGGATTAACTAAGAAGAATACTACACTAAGAAGGGAAAAGGGAATAAATGGAAAAAATAGCATGTCGTATCAACGGAGAATTCTGAGATTATTCAATAGAAAGCAGAACTTGCCCTGGGATAGGGGGAGGAGGCAGTAGGTAATCGCTGATCCGTGCTTCAGCCTCGAGCTATGGCCGCCTTCTTGTTGCCGGTGTTTACAGGACTTAGGATGT